CAATCTGAAAACAGCAGTGGGGGGACCACATTTACAGACTGGTAGGAAGGAGCACACAGTTACATGTCCATTTAGCAAGGTCTCAAGTCAGGAGTCTCACCAATTCCTGCCCAATACCTACTCAGTTTTCTCTTCAGGTTGAAACTAAAAAGTAAGCATCTTTGTTATCCAAACTTGCTTCAAGTTCAGGAAACAGGACACCTGGGCTCAACTCATTGAGGGATTCGCTTAATTATTAAAAAAAAAAAATTGAACGGTAAGCTCACCATGAAAAGAAAAAAAAAAATTACATTGAGAATACAGTTAAGTTAGTAGCTTTCTTCACATTTTCACATTTTTTGAAAGAGCCACAGAGGTTTCATTCATGTTTTAACCAGTTAAGTTGGTAAAGATCCTGTCTCTGTTTTGTAAGAGATGGATTACACTTAATTACTCCTCACGACAGCCAACTGGAAGATTATTCCATTGCTTTTGAAAGATTATTCCATTGCTTTTGAAGTACTGGTTGGGCTGGCATCTGCGATGGTAGCCAAATAAATGAGATTTCTATGTAACACATGCTGGTACTGGACGCACTCGTTCGCCCGGCTTTGTTCTGATACTCCACAATACAGCGGATCAGCTGGTCATTCTCCTCAAGGAGCCGCTGGATCGCCTCTTGATTGACTTCCGCCTTGCCCCTCAGCCAGTCGGGTACGAAGGCCACCGACATCCCGAGGAGGCTCCGGAAGCACCGACCACCCTATTTAACTTTTTTCAGTCTAAACAACGCATTAGAAAGGAGGCTGCTTCTCGGTGTATTGGAAAAATGTTCCCCCATTTTTTGACTTTAATTGTTCCTATGTTAATGTGTTTTAAAAACAGGATTATAATTATAGAGATATTATTCTTAGAGAAGAACATCAGAGTGTTAATTGGGTGGAAAGCAGGATGTGGGACTGGTGCCTGTTTTTCCAAGTAAGTGAGTAGAATCAAAGCAAAGACCTCAGACAGAATTTATTTTCAGTTCCATGAGGAAGTTTTCGCTGATATTTCAGTTGAGGGAAGCCACTGAAAGGCTGTTGCATAGAGGAAGATACATTAAATGAGAAAGACACCAGCAAGAGCAGAGGGGAAAATCATTTAGTGAAAAACCTGATACAAATATTAAGGGATACTACAGTAATTTAAGGGGTCAAACCCCAGGATAAGAAACCAGAACCACCTATACATTAGTGCTTGACCACCAAACTTCGAGCCTGAAATTGCAATCATATTTTATATTTGTGTTTTAAAGAGTAAGTTGGTGACAGATTTTATTTCATTTCTTTTCTGCCTTTCTTCCTGCTTCCTCTTTCTCTTTCTCCCTTCCTCCCATTCTCCAGTATATATACCTTCTAATAATTTTCCTCTGGGTTTTATTCTGAATGTTATGGTTGTTGTGCCTGTTTTTCTCATTTTATTAAGCATACATGGGTTGACCTTGGAAGTACGATGATGTGTAGGGGGTGGGTGGATTTGGTGATATTCTGTACCCTATTTGTCTTTCTAGTCCTTGCAGTTACATTTAAGCCCAGGAGTCAGTTTACATTAGGATAATGTCCTCAACTTGACTATTCATTTAGTCTCCCAACTAACAGATATTGACTGTCTGCTAGAAGTTAGGAAAATCCACCCGAGTCTCTACTATTGTATCCAAGTTCTAGGCACTTGGATACAATAGTAGAGACTGGGGTGGATTTTCAAGACGAGGAGAAACACATAATAAACACAAATAAGTAAATTGTATATGTTTGAAGGTAATAAGTTATATGAAGCAAGGAAAAAGTCAAGCAGGGTAAGGGGACCAGTGAGTGGGAAGTATGTGATTTACAATATTAAACAGGCAAGTTACGGTGGCCTCTTTGTTTATGATGTTTTGAAATGGCTTGTTGGAGTCTTGATATACCCATCTTTGTCTTTAAAAGACAGAACAGAGGCCTTGGAGGCAACACAACATATCTACAACCATCCGATCTTTGACAAACCTGACAAAAACAAGCAATGGGGAAAGGATTCCCTGTTTAATAAAGGGTGTTGGGAAAACGGGCTAGCCATGTGCAGAAAGCAGAAAATGGACCCCTTCCTGACACCTTACACTAAAATTAACTCCAGATGGATTAAAAACTTAAACATAAGACCTAACACCATAAAAACCCTAGAAGATAATCTAGGCAAAACCATTCAGGACATAGGCATAGGCAAGGACTTTATGACCAAAACACCAAAAGCATTGGCAACAACAGCCAAAATAGACAAATGGGACCTAATCAAAGTCCACAGCTTCTGCACGGCAAAAGAAACAGTCATTAGAGTGATTCAGTAACCAACGGAATGGAAAAAATTTTTGCAGTCTACCCATTTGACAAAGGGCTAATATCCAGAATTTACAAAGAACTAAATCAGATTTATAAGAAAAAAGCAAACAAGCCCATTCAAAAGTGGGCAAAGGATATGAACAGACACTTTGCAAAAGAAGACATACATGAGGCCAACAAACATATGAAAAAATGCTCATCATCACTGGTC